CGGATTCGGCGTAGCGAATATGCCCGGGTAAGCACAAAATATCATAATTGACCTTTTGGGTGGACACTGCCTTTAAATCGTGAAGGACTGATCTGCTGACACCTTTCACTCAAGACGCCACAAGGCCTCAAACCACCGAAACAGATACGATCACTCTCGCACCACCTCGAATCGCTTCAGGTGGAAGATGACAGAAGACGACAGGTGGTAAAAGGATGAGAAGTTTGCGTAATGCGTGACTCAATGAACCACGACCACGCCCAATTTCTATGGCTCTTTCGTTTATCTTTGTGATCACTTCGAAATTGGTTCCTGTAGGTAGACAGATGGTTTCGAAGTATCCAATGTGCTTTATAAAGCTCACGTAGCGCGTCATTCCGCTGGTGAACTTGGCCATGTTTGCGAGCAAGAGAATATTACGCATTCGTGCCAATATCTAACAAACACCTAGAGTGCTTGAAAACCCTTCAGAATAGAATTATCAAGTTTAAGCCTTTCATAATAATGAAGCTCATATAAACGAACTATCCACAAAGACTTTTATGAAGCCAAACAATAAAAGAAAAATTCAAACTAAACTCACATGTTGCCCCTGTGATACGTTGCGTTGATGACTTGCTTTTGAAGGCATTCTGTAAATCAAAACCAATTTCAAAATGATCGCAGATAAGCTAACTCCTCCATCTCCACCTTCTTAGGCTACAAAATGATTAAAAAGGGATGTCGCACCTTACGAAAGTGACTGAAAATATCTCTTATAAACCAATGGCTCGAAAAAGCTAAGCTCCTGGAAGAAGCATGGACGCAAGGCGACCCTTCGGAAGACCGACACGACCGCAGCGCGAACGCGACGCAGTCCTTGCCTTCGGAGCACTTCGGAGCACTTTATGGTTGCCGCGTGTACATCGCGTCCCCTCGGTTAAAGGCAATGGCTCGGCAAATTCCAACCTACTCAAATTCTCGCTTACCTGTAGTTATCCAATGCGCTTATCCCAAAAATCCACTTTAGAGAGTTTGAAAACGGCGAAAACGAGCGTTTTCCAATGCCTTTCGCTTTGAAAGTGTATGAGCTGAATAAGACTGTTGACGCTGGATTGTTGCGGACCGAGTGGTTACAGCTTTGCGGCGGGCAGCCTCCAATGGTAAGAGGGGACTCAACTCGTGCGAACGGGCCACGTCGTTACATGCTCA